TTCTATAGTCTCTCATGTTTTCTACATATTGAGTAAGTTGTAGTACTCAATTAATAAAACATGTGACTCATAACTAGTGTTAAAGGATAATTCTGTGGTTTCTACATGAGCTCTCTCTCTCATCTTTGTTTCTCACTCTTTTTTTTTCCTTCTTAGTGTCCATGTCTCTCCCTTCTCCCATGCCTCCTCTTCCTTTAATCTCTCTCTTTCTTTTTCTCTCTGTTTTCCTCTGAATGCACTATTTTCAAAAGGAGCATAATCACACTTTTTAACACAGGGCCTAGCATACCTTAAGTGTCCCATAAACATTAGTTATAATGAACTAATATAGCATAGCTAACATATAATAATAGCTAATTTATAATCTTTTATATTAATAATTGTATCATAACATATATGCTATAGTTATAAATATACACATTATATTTATATAATAGATGAAATAATTATGTATAGCATTGTAGTTATAGGACATATTAGTTATCTATTTAGCAGCTTAAAACAACGAACATTTATGTTTCCAAAGTTTCTGTTGGTTAGGAATCCAAGGACAGCTTAGCTGCAGACCTCTGTCTCAGGGTGTCTCACAAGGCCATATGGTCAAGGTGCTGGCCAGGGCTGTGGATTTTTCTTCTTTTATTGAATTTATTGGGATGACATTGGTTAATGAAATTATATAGATTTCAGGTGTACAATTCTATAATATATCATCTGTATATATATTGTCCCTTTTTTGTTTCTTTTTGCTTAATGCCTTCGCCTTTTACAGCCAGCCCCCCATACCCACCCCACCCACTGGCCTTCTTCTCAAGGCCCAACAGAGTATCCACTTCCAAGTTCATTCACATGGCTTTTGGCAGGCCTTAGGTTGCTGGCTGTTGGCTAGAGCCATTCATTCTTGCCACATGGGCATCTCTATAGAGTTCACATCGTGGCAGCTGGCTTTGTTCAGAGCAAATAAACAAGCAAGAGATCAGGAGAGGGCCCAGAACTAGAAGCCAGAGTCCCATTGTCTCTGTAGCATTCTGTGTGCTAGTGGTTTCTAAATTCACCCACACTCAAGGGGGTAGAGAATAGGAGGTAGGGATCATTGGGGGCCATCTTGCAGGCTGCCCAGCACATATAATCTATAAAAAATATAAACATATATTAATCATATAATTGTAATAAATTGAATAATTATATACATTTATTAATAATTATGGAAATATAAACTTGCCTGGGTTTTTTCCAAATTTGCAAATTCTAGGCTTTCTCTGTTTTTGTTTGTTTGGGAGTTTTTTTATGGGTAGAAAGGGAAGATGGAGATTTCCTGACTTAATCAATTTCCAGTATTTGTCCTATTTTGTGTGTATGTAGCCAGTTTTGACATTTATTCAAAATTTTTGTTATGGATTCTGTTTCAGGAACCTTCACAAAATCCTGAACTTGAATCAAGCATTTTACATTTCCATGGTTAAGGGAATGTGGGTGTAACAATGTAAGACAACTACCACCATCAGAAAATTTACACAAAGCAGAATGAGACAAAAGCACTAATTGTAGACATAAGTTACATACATTTTACATGTACTGATTTTAATGACAGCCTTCATGCAAAAATTCCTTTGTTTCTGGGATAACTTTGCTCACTTCCTCTGCCTATTGCCTTTTGCTCCGTTCCCCTCCTATCACTTCAATGCATTGTCTAGTTGTTCCGCTTGCTGTACTCTCAAACTACTTTCTCCTTGAGAACTTTATCCTCTACTTCTTTACATTTGACTCAGATTTTGAATGTTTCTATCTTGAAAGAGGAAATTACTATTTCAAGTCTTCATCTCAACTCAATTCGAATGACAAAATTTTGAGTTGTTATGTCAGGTGGACGTAAGTAAAATTTAGCCTCAGCTGTGAAAGAACTCTCAGTCTAATCCAAAATACAAATATGCAAAAGAATATAATAAAGTTGATGACATAATTATTAAAAACAAAGAGGTCACTCAATAGCAGGGATGGTTAATTCTTCAGAAGCAAAGGGGAACAGGAGGCAAAGGGAAGAGGCAGCATCTAAGCTGGAATTTCATGTACATATAAGCATTTAGTTACTAGAATTGGGAAAAGGGTATCACAAAAGGAACAGAATGTATAATGTACAGAGGCGTGAAGAACAGTGTGTTATCGCAGGTAGGGAGTACTAAAAAGTGGGGAGTTCTTTCTAGCCTAAGTTTTCTGAGGACATATGTTGGCTGCCTCCTAAGTCCTGCGCTGAGTCCATCTTTTAGGTTTGGCTGTCTCTACTTTATTGCTTCATTCCTCTACACACATTGCTCTCTCTTCCCTCCCTCCCCCGCCCCCACTTCATATAACCCTCCTCCCTTCCTTTCCTTCCTTTTATGGAAATTTGTGTGTGTGTGTTTAGGCCCTGGGTTTAATTTAGTTGGATTGGACTGTAGTAATAACGTTTCTGTACATTTGCCCAGAGGCATTCAGCTAATGGGTGTATTCGTCACAGGCCAATAAACAGATGAATAAATCCAGTGTGCTGTCTTGTATCTATGTCTTCCTTCTCTTCCTTTGCATTTTGCCCATCCTCCATTGCTTGGAGACTTTTTTGAAAATTAAAATTTTCCTAGGTACCTCAAACATTAGGTTGCCTTTATTAAGTCAGTTCTGCACCTGCCAGTCATTTCACGGAAGACTTTCCTGTTGCTGGAGCATATGTTCTTTACCCATGAAGAGATCCCGTCTGAGTCTAATGGGAGTTCTGCTGCCCAGAGAGCTCTTCCCCCGTGTCAGTAAGTACCTCAGAAAACTATAGGCTCACATCTGTGAATGACAGTTGCTCATTTTTGACCATTGATGCTGATTTTGACTTCATGGAATTCAATGATAAACTGATAACCTCATAGAACAGAGTTTGATCAAATCACCTTGGGCAGTAAATCTAAGGTTTTCCAAACCTAGGGATACAAGCCTGGGCTGTAAAATAAATGGTGAGCAACCACAGGGGCCATGAAGGAAAAAATATTAACCAAAGTACTTTGAAACAAACTGCCTTCCTGCATGCCGACTAAGCCCAGGAATAGATGGTGGTTTCTGCTCTTCCACCAGTTCTTGCCTTGCTTCATCTCCTGTCCTTTGCTCTCAGCCTTCCTTCTCCCTCTGCCTGGCTGAAAACATTCTGTTCCATTTTCTCTGCCCTAACTTCAGACTCCCTCCCAGGACCCCAGGAGAGCACCCCCTCCCACTGCCTGGGGAGGCTTTCCTGCACCACAGTCTCTAGCGTGGCCAGCACATTGAGGTCATTGCTGTCCCTGCCAAATGATTGGCCTTAGTTCAGTTTCTCCATCTGTCTGAGCTTCATGGAAAACATGATTGTTGCTCTAGGCTCTTTATTATATGTCCTGCCTAGGTCTGCTTTGCATCTGTTTTTTAATTTTTTTCCCCTACCCCCACCCCTGCCTTTTCTTTCCCTGACTCTCCCCAGACTAGAATCACATCTGTTTTCCAGCCTCTGTACTCTCACTGCAGAGCAGATGGAAGATGTGCAAGTTCTGGGCCAAGCAGATCCGTAAAGAGCTGGGTTTGTACTCAGGTTTGTTCTAGGGACTCAGCAGAATCTATGCATCTCAAAAATGGAACACTAGCATCTCCCTCAAAGGAACCAGAGGTGCTTTTCACTTAAATCTCATTATGTTCATTGCTCTCCTTTCTTCCCACTAAACAACTGGAAAAAAACAGCTAAAAGTTAGATTTTGTCTTTCCTCCCTCCCTTCCTTCCCTTCTTCCTTCATCATTTACCTTCCTTCCTTCTAGTTTGTAACGATTAATACTATCTGCCCTCTGTGTCTTTCGGTACTCTTCTCTGAGTTAGCTCATGAGGGACATGCGCAATGTAGGCTACAGGAGCTAACAGACACCTAGACACACACTTCAGATACACATAAGGTTAACTGCGCCTCATATATAAGTTTCTATAATTCAAGTTGAGCCTCGCCAAAGCAGAGATATTTTATTTTTTCAAAGATTTCACTTATTTTTAGAGAGAGGGGAAGGAAAAAAGAAAGAGAAACATCAGTATGAAAGAGAAGTATCAGTGGTTTGTACATGCCCTGACTGTGGGACGAACCCCACAACCCAGGCATGTGCCCTGACTGGTGATCGAACTAGGTGACCTTCCACTTTACAGAATGACACTCAGCCAACTAAGCCAGACTGCTAGGGGCAAAATGGAGATACTTGAATGGTCTAACCATTGGGGTTTCTATGGATAAGAGCAAATACAAAGTCTTTAAAATTCCTGGGTCTGAGAAAGTGTTTTCTACATATTATATGATATGAGGAAAAGTACTGGTGGAAAGTAAGTCAAGCAAAATAAACATAAACTTGGCTCTCAGTTTTCTTTGGGCTTCTGATGGCATTTTGTCCTTAAGACTCCAGAAACCAAGATTCTTAGCATAAACTTAAACAAAGCCAAAAGACAGAATACAGCTGGCACCTCCTCTCGCAGAGTTCCTCCACATTTCAAAATGATATAGAGGGTACTGTGTACCTCAACTTTTTCCAGCCCTGAGACAGCCAGCCCTCCTCTTGGACAAAACTCATGTGGTGTCTGTTTTTGCTTGGAAGAGGGAATAAATGACATTTTTAGGGGAAGAAAAAAAACAACAAGAGTCTGAATGTATGGGTCAAGAAAGAGTCAAAGAAAGAAGATAAATACAGGGATACAAAGAAATTTGTTGGTGTTGAATAGAAGAATGTCCAAAAAGAACAAAGTGAGAAGGAAGGGTACAAAAATGACTCAAACATGGAAGATAATCAGAGATAGGAACAGATTCCGGTGATGTGCAGTAAAACATTCCAAGGATGAGATAGAACCAATTAGGTAAGAAGAAACCCCAGGGAAGGAGGGTGGGGGTGGGGCCAGATTGCAAGAGGGAAAATAAACTCATGGAAGAAAGGCATATGCGAACTTGGGCCAACCCTTCTAAGGAGCAGCAGTATCTCTCACCAATGTGGTCATAACCTTTGGAATGAGGGTGTGAGTGACTGAAAGTCCCATCCCCCTTCTCATTTCAGCCTCATTGCACTCCTGTAGCCTGGCTCTCTCTCTCTCTCTCTCTCTCTCTCTCTCTCTCTCTCTCTTGCTCTCTCTCTCTTGCTCTCCCTCATCTCATTGTTTCAGGAGGCCAAATTTGAACTCCTTCCCAGGGAGTGGCCCTGTTCATCTTATTCTCCAGCCAAAGTAGGAATAGCGTGAGAAGGAGAGAGACAGTCAGCAGCCAAAGGACTCGGTGGAAAGAGCAGAGGACCATAGACAGTGAGTTGTTTGATTGTATAAAACCCCGAATAAACAGAGAGAGTGTGTATTTGGGTGTGCATATATGTGTGTATATGTGTGTATGCATTGAAGGGTTGGAGGGGGGCAATGGGGAATGTCAGTGAACTTAAAATTGAGCAGATGCCCCAATTGTCCATGAAATTCAAATGAAAGAAGATACCCAGATAAACAGATGATAAATACAAGTCACAGATATCAAACGAGAAGATCAGACCCAAGGGGTGAAAGAGACCACAGGGTAGGGGCAAACGTGGACCATTTAGAATATAAAATTTCTTCCGACATGATAGAAAAGAGTAATGAGAGAGAGAATGGTTTAAGGGATCAAACAACAGGATTTAAATTGAGAAATAAATGTTGGGTAAAAGATAAGAGAGAAACAGTTTGAATCATATAGGGGGGTCAGGAAAGCTCCTAGGGAGACAAAGAGATGGGGCCACAGATATCCCTTCCTGGAACTAAAATACTGATGTGTCCCTGAGCATTACCATCTCTACTCTCCCCACCACCTTGCTAGATATGCTGCTTTTGGGACCCAAGGTGCTGTTGTTTCTCACCGCCCTCATCACTCCCTCGGGTGAGTCCCTACCTTTATTCTTTTCTCCCTAAAATGCTAGCTCCTCAGATATACATGTATCTGGTGGTGTATGTTAGAGAATGGAATGAAAGGAGGTGGAAGGGAACTGGGAGAGAGATGTTTGCTCCTGAGCTCTAGATTTTCTGTGAAAGAGAAGAAAGGAATAGATTTTGTGTTAAAGAAAAAAGGGCAGAGACATGGTAAGAGATGACCTCAGACTTGGGAAAAGCTATCCGGAGAGTTATGAAACTAAAGTGAATTGAAGATACACACAAATGCATATTAACCAAAAGAGGGTCACCTACATAAATACCCAAGTAAACAAATAGCAAAGGAAAATGAAGCTAGTAACACAAATGCATGAACAAACATATACAGACCACCTGACAAGAAACTAGACCAAACTTAAATCCTGAAGAAAAACAGTAACAGGAAACAAACACTAGCACCAGCATACACTCATGTATATTCACATGCACACCAAAATGTGCCAAATCTGTGCACAAAAGAAAAATGATCTCCACAGATTTCACAGAAGTTAGTTAGAAGTTTAGCCACAGAGTATGAGCCTTAGATTAAAAAAAAAATTTTAAAAATCCTCCTCTATTGTTTTCTCTTATTCTACCAGATAGAGACTCTGAGAAAGTAATCTTTTTGTCTTGCTCAGTAGTGTAGCTAGTGGGATGGCTGTGGGTACAGGACAGGCCACATAAGAGGGTGAGAGAGGCTGCTGGCCCTCTCTGTGGAACAGGACCTCATTCCTTCTGGTTGGGAATGAGAGCAAAAAGGCGTGCTGAGTCAGGACATAACAGAGCAGGGGTTTGTTTTCAGGACTTCACTGTCTTTCTTGAGTTTTTCCATGTTTGTGTGAAGCACTAATTATTGGAGTAATTTTGTATTGAACCATATAAAAATAAAACACAAAAAGATAAAGTACAACCATTTCCCATCATTTTCTGGTTTATCTCATAAAGGCTTTTTGGGGTATAGAGCTGGAGTCACTCACATCCCTTTTCTCCTTCCTTTGATACAGACTGGACACCTCTAGGGGTCAGTGGTCAAGGAGAAGGTAGGTGAACTTTTGGACATGGGCTTATCAGGGTAACATAAACGAATGATCAATAATACAGCAGAGATGGTTGCCAAGGTGGGAAATAGGATCTAATTCACTAGTCTCCACAATCCTATTATCCCATTCATAAAACCTTCTTTTCTTTTTGAATCTGCTGAAATACTTTTCCCAAGACCTCCTCTATGACCATCTCTTGCTTCCACTCTCCTCCATACATCTCTTATCTTGCTCAGAAAATGCCCACTAATCCTAACAGAAAGCATTTGCCTATTGATATAACATGGGAGAAACTAAAATGCAAAGACAGGATGAGAAGTCATCTTAATACTGCAGTGAAGCTGGGGCACAACCGGACAAACCCAAAAGTTTTTGCTTCCAAACGATCACTTCCTTCAACTTAATGAAGAAAACCCCAATCAACATCTCTACTCTGCCTCCAGACAATCAACATGTCATATTTTGCCATGTAGAATGTGTCCCATGTATAATGCACACTCGTGTTTTTGTGCTCATTATATATGGGAATTATTATGCCTGTTATTATACCCATGGTATGTAATCATTATACCTATGTACAGTACACACCCCTATTTTTCCCTCAAATATTCGGGCAAAAAATTGTGCATTTTATATATGGCAAAATACAGTAATTATAATTTATCTCTTACTTTTCCCAATCCTTGTGAGCACAGTAGTATGTAACCCATTAATGGGTCATAAAATCAAATTAGTGGGTCACAGCTGGTATTTTTTTTTAAGAATTAGAATAGACTAAAAGAAAAATAGAGTACATGCAAGTCTATTGCAAGAGTAAAGTACTATCTTTATACTTGTTTCAGTTTTATGTATGTACTGGGGCATGATATAATTTCTAATAACATGTGAGTTCGGAAACAGAAGATAAAAATGTAGAAACAAAAACTTTTTTCTCTGTTGTGAATGAATAGGTCTGAATCCCTAAATTTCTGAACCTAGGTCATCAGATTTCAGCTCCAGCAAAACCAAAATCTGAATTCATTTCTCTGGGCTGGGTAAGGTCCAGTCCTATTTTATGACTTCGTGATGCTTTCTTATCAGAAATATTATAAGATGAAACTGTCTCCTTAAACCCTGGCTGATGTGGCTCAGTGGATCAAGCTCAGGCCTGTGGACCAAAGGGTCGCCAGTTCGATTCCCAGTCAGGGCACATGCCTGCATTGCTGGCCAGGTCCCCAGTGGGGGTGTGTGAGAAGAAACTACACGCTGATGTTTCTCTCCCTCTCTTCCTCCCTTCTCCCTCCTCTAAAAGTAAATAAATAAAACCTTTTTAAAAATATCTCCTTAAATTTCCTTTTCAGAGAACATAAATTCTAGATAACTATTTGTATAGTGGTAGCTCATGGAAAAGGTGGGTAAAAGAGGAGTATGGGGAAGGTAGGTAAGTTGAAAGATATGCAGAAAAGTAGTACTCTACCCTGAAGTCCTGAGGCAGCTGGGACACACGCTCAACCCCTTGGCCCTCCCCTGCTGTTTCTGTGAGTGGCTGGGCTGGAATGTGGCTACAGAAAAAGAGAACCAGGGCCAGACTGGACTACTCCCCGGGAGGCTCCACTCCCCTCTTAGTCTCCGGAATGATTCAGGTCAGTGGTTTATTAAAATATCCTGTGGGATTGAAAGAGACTTGGATTCCTTTTATCAAAAGTTGTCCTGAAAAAAGGAAAGTTTATACTAAGTGTTAAAGACAAAAATGCTCTATTGTCAGATCTAATCTTTTTCTGTCTAGAGCTTCTTTTTAAAAGGATGAGGTAAGCAGTTAGCAGGGGGAAATTCTTCATAATGTTTTATTTGTGATTTGCTTCTACTACAATGGTCAATAACTCTGCCGTGCTGTATTAAAATGATATTCCCACCAAATTTAAATCTGACATTTAGACTGAAGTTTAAAAAAAGTTAAACCAAACTGTGAATTTGCTGACCTCTAGTGGGTAAAATAGATTATGACTATAAGCTTTCTACAATGAAGGATCATTATAGATGGGATATTTGCTATTTTTAAGTATATTTTATTGATTATGCCAATAGAGTTGTCCCATTTATTTTTGTCTCCATTTTATCCCCTTCTGCCCAGTACCTCCATTCCTTCCAGCATTTCCCCACCCCTTAGTTCATGTCCATTGGTTGTACATAATAAGTTCCTCAGCTTCTCCATTTCCTATACTATTCTTAACCTTCCCCTGCCTATTTTGTACCTACCATTCATGCTTCCTATTCCCTGTACCTTTCCCCCCATACTCCCCCCACCCCCTCCCCACTGATAACCCTCCATGTGATCTCCATTTCTGTGATTCTGGTACTGTTCTAGATGTTTGCTTAGTTTGTTTTTGTTTTTGTTTTTAGGTTCAGTTGTTAATGGTTGTGAGTTTGTTGTCATTTTCCTGTACATAGTTTTGATCTTTTTTTTCCTTACATTTAAGTCCCTTTAGCATTTCATATAATAAGAGCTTGGTGATGATGAACTCCTTTAACTTAACCTTATCTGGGGAGCACTTTATCTGCCCTTCTGTTATAAATGATAGCTTTGCTGGATTGAGTAATCTTGGATGGAGGTCCTTGCCTTTCATGACTTTGAACACTTCTTTCCAGCCCTTTCTTGCCTGTAAGGTTTCTTTTGAGAAATCAGCTGATAGTCCTATGGGAACTCCTTTGTATGTAACTGGCTCCTTTTGTCTTGCTGCTTTTAAGACTCTCTCCTTACCTTTAATCTTGAGTGATTTAATTATAATGTGTCTTGGCGTGTTCCTCCTTGGGTCCAACTTCTTTGGGACTCTCTGAGCTTCCTGGATCACCTGGAAGTCTATTTCCTTGGCCAGTCTGGAGAAGTTCTCCTTCATTATTTTTTCAAATAAGTTTTCAATTTCTTGCTCTTCTTCTTCTGGTACCCCTGTGATTCTGATGTTGGAACGTTTAAAGTTTTCCAAGAGGTTCCTAAACTTGTCCTCATTTTTTTGAATTCTTGTTTCTTCTGTCTTTTCTGGTTGAATGTTTATCTCTTCCTTTTGTTCCAAATCATTGATTTGAGTCCGGTTTTCTTTCCTTCACTGTTGGTTCCCTGTATATTTTTCTTTATTTCACTTTTTATAGCCTTCTCTTTTCCCTTTATTTTGCATCCATATTCAATCATTTCTGTGAGGATCTTACCAGTGTTTTGAACTCTTCATCTGATAGGTTGGCTATCTCCTTGAAGCTTATTTGATCTGTTCTTTCATTTGGGCCATATTTCTTTGTCTTGGCACACCAGTCTGGATGAATGTTTCTTCTTTAATTCCTTAGTTGTTGGACTTCCATACAACATCTAAGACAGTTCTGGTTGTTTTTTGTTTTTAAATTTGTTGTTATCCTAATTTTGGTTGTATGAGAAAGCAAAGCATATCTACCTACATCTACATCTTGGCTGGAAGCCCATATTTGCTATTTCAATGTTAACACTGCTTTGTTATTTTGCTTTTTTAATTCAAACCAAGTTGCCCTAGGAAGTGTTATTATTTACAGTTTTAGGTATCGTTTTCTTAGTTTATCCCATTGTATTCCCCTTTAAGACCTGGACCATTTTTATTCCTTCTCCTCCTGTCTTTGCTTTCCAAGGTCAATTAATTGCAAGGCATTGTCTACTAACACATTCATTTTCCCTCCCCTCACTTCACCTTTCTTCTCACTGAGCATTGCACAATTACCAACATCACCTTTTATGAACACTCTTATATATAAGCATATCATCAGACTGATATCCAATTACATCAAAATTATAAATATCAAAATTAATGTCTTAGGTGAAGGTAATTTTCATGCTGAATAAGCATTGCAAAAGGTCATCAATCCATTGTACTCATTAACAAGCTCTATGACCGTGGTAAATTATTTATTCTTCTGGTGCTCTGTTTTATCATCTGTAAAAACAAGGATTTAAACAGTGCCTGGCACACATTTAACTCAGATTAGCCAAATATATTATTGTATGTTAGGACAATAAAATAATATAAGTTATTCCTGCAGTCTAATGCTTAACCAAAGTCTAACTGAGAAGGGGTGACTGTGGAGAATTATCTGATGGGCACGTAGTTTAGTTTATTCATTCCTCTATACAGAGAAAGGGAAAAAGATATTCTAAGCCAAGGACTGCATGGGTATATTCATGGAAGTAGGAGTGTACAACATTTGTTTGAGTTACAGGGAAAAGGACTTGGGCTGGGAAACAAACAAAGAAAAACAATTGTGGGATACTTTGTGTTGGCCACTGCTCTAGACAATTGCACTTGCTGGGAGTGCAAGGGTGGGAAGGGTAAAGAAAATGCCCAGAAAAATGTTTTCTGATTTTTTTTTTATTTAACAGGTGTGACTCAAGTGACTCAAGAAACATTCACAGAAGATCCTAGTAAGCTACCCTTTTATTTATTTATTTATTTACTTGCTTTCATACTGGGGATAGAAGAATTGACGATGCTGACTGTACAAAGAATGATGAAGACTAGAGAAGAGGTTGGTGGGCACTCTGAACTCATGCAGAGCTTATTGTCTGTCTTAGATGCCACCAATGCTGTAAACAGGTCCAATCTTTTTCTCTCCTCCATTCCTTCTGTAAGAGTCCCTTACACTTGCCCCCACAATCCACATTCTTTCACCTCAATCTTTCTGCCTCCTTAGACCGTCATCCCTTATCCTGCTTCCCTTTCTACTTTTTCTACTTGTATTTTTTATTATCTGTGTTGTATCTTTTCAGATCTGGTAAATGAACCGGCTACAGATGAAACAGGTAAGTTTTACTACAGTTTTTTGAAAATGGCATGATTCTCGTTAATATTCACAATATTTATTCCAGCTCTTGAATTAATTCTGTATTTTTATCTCTGGGAAAGCCATAGAGGGATTGTGGGCATGTTGCTGAGTGACAGTGGGGTAAAGGAAAGAGGTGTCCCTAGAGGAAACAAAGTGGATTAATAGCTAAAATAAGGCATGAATGGTAAAAGCTCCCCAAAATTAGTATAATGTCAACAAGACAAATATTCTTCAAAAAAATATTTGCAATTACCTCAATTACCTCGCTGGACATAATACACAAAACCAATCATAGTCTTGACCTTGCCCTAATATCTCCATTCTCCCTTTTTTTATTCTGCCTTCCCTCTTGACAATTCAAAGCCTTCCTCACACCTGCTGTTTTGTGCCTTTTCAGTTCTGGTTGATATCGTGGCTTCCACAGATGACCTGGGTGAGTTCAGATCTGGGACCCCAGGGCCACCAGGGCCATTCTGGGCCTTCCCCAGAGCCTATGATGGAAGGCAGTACAGCTGGCAAAGGGTCCTAAGTAGACAGGGTTACAGTTTACATAGCTTCTTCCAACAGTTCAATTGAAATTAATTACATTTTTTATCCCCAAACAAGCAGGCACTGCTAAGTGTTTGATATACAAAACACCAACACGTGATCTTTCCAAGTTTCTAAGGCTAGTAAAGGCAAGACAGATACACAAAGAAATATATAGGGAGAAAAAGGAAAACTTTCTAGAAGTAATGGTCGAACTGAATTTTGAAAGAACTGGAGCAAGCCAGGCAATCATGGAGGGGATGTGCATTCCAACCAAAGATAATAGCTGTTCAAACATGTGAAAGCAAAATAGAGCTTGGTATATTGGGGAAACTGAGTTTTTTGAACAGTTAGGGTCAAAACCATGAGGAACAAGTAGTAAGACATGAGAAAAGGAGATAGAAACTAGATTACTTTTAACAAATATTTACTGAAAACCTGCTACTTAGGTGCCAGGGATATCAAAGTGAACAAAACTAATTTTCCTCTATTAGATATTTTTATTGTAATAGACAAGGTAGACAAGTGAAAAGATATGAAAGACTCCTTGACTATATTCCATGTTAGGGATTAGGAAAGGCTTTCCTAGAGGGCAATTTGACTTAATTGCTTCTTGAAAGACAAGTAGAAGTGAATCAAGTGAATAGAAGAAGGAAGAGCAGAGCTTTTAGGCAAAGAAAATAATGTGGGCAAAGATGTGGGTTAGAGATGAAAGCCAGAGTACAGTTTATGCAAAGGAAGGTTCAAATCAGGTTTGTGAATTGGAAAACCAACAAGAATGACATTGCACAATCCAAATAAAAGATGGTGGCCTGAACTACGGTAGAAGTAGAGAGAATTGATTGTGAGCTGTAAGAAAAAAAGAGACTGCCCTGGTTGGTGTGGCTCAGCGGACTGAGCGCCAGCCTGTGACCTGAAAGGTCACCAGTTCAATTTCCTGTCAGGATACATGCCTGGGCTGTGGGCACATTCGTGTGAAAAGCAACAGATTGATGTTTTTTTCTCACATTGATGTTTCTCTCCCTTTCTTTCTCTTTTCCTTCCCTTCTCTCTGAAAATGAATATATAAAATCTTTAAAAGAAAGGAAAGACCATTGAGGTAATATTTAGATTTCTGTTAAGTAAATGGTGGCTATTGGGTGGATGGTCATACCATTCACTAAAGAACAATTTGAATTGGTAAAGGGAAAAATAATTAAGTTAGTTTGGGATATATTGGATTTGAAGGATCTTTGAAATATCCATGAACTCTTTTATAACATAGCAGCTGGATGTGTAGGTTTGGAGTTTAGAAGAGAGATCTGGGCTAGAAGTATAAATGTGAGAATTCTCAGCATATAAACTTGCAACTGAAACCATGGTATAGATGAGATCATCTAGCCCACTTCCTATAGTATCCTATTAGCATCTTTTCCAATCACAGTTTTACAGGTAACTCCCATAGTTAGTCTATTCCCTCAAGATTCATCTTGCTTTTTGATTTGTTCTCCATTCTGCAAACTAGGCCCATATTTAACCTGCCCCTAGGTTAGGTTTGGCTATGGCTATGACCCTTGCTATTCTTTACTGGATAAATTTTATCAAAGAACACATGATGGTGTATCTGATATGCAGAGAAGAAAATTTCTGTTTTGAAGAAGAGCTTCCACAGGACAAAAACCTTTTGTGTTTATGGCTTAAGGATGAAGCTCTTCTGAGTATATGGCTCCTTGCCTGAGCTCCTACTGAATTTGTTTATTGTCAACAACACAGAGATACTCTCAATATAATAAATTTTTCAACTGTCTAGAGAGAAAGGTAAAATCATATTTCCCATCCTAACTTCTAAATCTCTTCAATTATGTGAATCAAAATAAACATTATGGGTTTTCTTTTAGAAGTTATCAAAGAGTTATTAATTTGTTTCCTTATCTACATGGGTGTCCCATATGGGTCTCAACTGAGAAAACATGAGAGTTACAGAGGTAGTGACTTCTAGAAGTAATAATAACTGAATAAAATTTTTCCCTTCCAGCTTCACCCAATGATAAAAGTAAAAACACAGGTATGATTGTCTTTTGCATGTCTTTTTTTAAGCTTTTTTTTCCTTCCCAGGGATTCCTTACCTTCCTTTTCTTGGGAGGGTACATCATCTAGCTTATTTCCCAGTCTTTTTCAAAGAATATTTTTGGTATCCTTTATTCTTCCTCCTCTACCTTTACCCTTGCCTTTTGATATGAGCTCCTGTCCTAAAGGTCATGGTCAAAAGATTGGACCACTGTTGTGTGATCCCAAAACAATCCTTTGTACTTTATTTGGTTAGGGCACTGGGAACTGACTGCAAAGATTCAATATTACTGTAGACATCATGGCTAAAGTTGCTTTCTCTAATGTGCTGCTAATTCTGATGTGCAGCTAGGGTTGAAAACTACTGAAACAGAAAAATAGTTACCTATCTTAGAACTCTCATTCTTCAGAATAGGATTATTAGCAATTTTGGTCTGATATTTCACCTGGATAACCCTAGAAGGACTTTTTCCTAGAAGAGCCCTCAGAGATTTTTTTAGCCACTTCTACTTGCAGGTAGGGAAGCACCTAAATTTCATTTTAGTAAATTTCCTATTACTCTGCTTTGGTGAGCAGGAAGGAAGGCCCCAACTTATGATCTTCTATAGAGACTACTTTGTATGTTTTTCCCACTTCATCTGTCTTCCTCCATCCCTTTAATCCTTTGTTTGTATTATTCATGTTTGTTATGCCTCTCCCTATTTTTTTGTGTTGGGCTCCTTCAGATTGCCGGGATGAGAAATTTGCTTGCACAAGACTCTACTCTGTGCATCGGCCAGTCAAACAATGCATTAATCAGTTATGCTTTACCAGGTAAGGGATCCCAGAATACCCAGAGATCATCTTCCATGATAGTGTTTTCATGTTGGCAACTATTTAATGAGTAGCCGCTATGGAATTTCAGTCTTTGGAGGGGCAGAAGATTTTAGCATAACCCTTCTATCTATTCCTAAAAGCACCAGATTGAACCTGGAGCCTGGGTTGAGGTGTCTAGAGAACAGGCTGACTAACAAGTCCAGGTGCTAGAGGGCAAATAAAGGTGAGGTCTGGAGGAAGGATAGTCATGAGGGAAACACAGGTACATTGAATTAATTACCTCATAGGAAAAAGGCTGAAATGAAAGATCCAAGTCTGAAGGTAGAAAATAGTGGGAAGGACTAAGTATTAAGCTTGATTCTAGGTGGTGTATGCAAAGTATCACTAAGAAGAGTAACAGCATTTTCTGGAAATTCAGATAAGGAAGAATAGGGAATATAGGAACTGAAGATGATTCCTAGGCCTAGGCTATTTCTACGTCTCAATGCTTTTTCTGTCTCCTTCCTTAACCATGACATTGGGAATATGGCAGTTTACGGCGCATGTACATCATCAACAATGAGATCTGCTCTCGTCTTGTCTGTAAAGAACATGAAGCTATGAAAGGTAAGATGATGTCTGTGTTTTTTTTGGGGGGAGGGACAGTTATGAGACAGTTAAACAAGGACACAGTGCTAATGGATCCAAAGTCTGGCTTTAGGGAGGGGCTTTAGGCTACCCACTGAACTTCCACCAGTTCCTGCTCCACCAAGTTACCACAAATAAGTAATCTAAGTAAAGCAGTATGCTTATATTATAAACATGACCCTACAAAAAGTACCTCCACATCTTTTTCCAATTAGATTATAACTCCCAATCTCTCCTTGGTATAGATAGAGCTTTCTGAAGCTCTGGCTGCTTTGAAGATCATTCTCTGGGGTTCCAAGTAAAATGAACAAGTCAGCTATTACAAATAATAGATTCCACTAATCTGCAGCCATGTTTGTAACTCTAAAGAACAAATAAACAAGAAAAAAACACATGATTAAATTAGAAATAGACCGAACATTTAGAAACTGGCTGTATTATGAACAATCTACCACTTCCAAAACACCTTTTACATTGCTCATTGTGAAATTCTCAAGGTAGAGGAAGGTAGAGAGACTTTATAAGAACAAAAGGGTCAAGGCTGTGTGACCGTGTATTGTGGGAAGAAAAACACTTCTCACCTTCCCTGTTGCTAACACCTAAAGGTGGCTGTGGTTGGAGAGGGCACCACAGACAAGCCGCTTCTGACTCAGCAGTCGCCCTATGCTGAGTTGCTGAGTAAGAACTGTACTTAACTTCGCAGAAGAAAATTTGCTGCTTGTCCCCAATGGCTCTGTGCAAGCCACCTGCAAGGGAAGCACCTTGAGATTGAGGATGAGTATTTGGGACTCTAAGCACTTTCAAGTGTCTCCGGGGACTTAGTCAAGTTAGTTCTTTGCACGTGGTAAACACTTAAATATATAGAGTGATTGGGCCTCATCTTTTGGCTATTCAATAAGTCAATGAATAGAAAGAGTGTGAGCTAGATGTATGAAGGAGAGTAACACTGATTGACCATCTGTGCTAGGTACTTTGCATACATTATTTCATTTTACTACAACTAAAGTGTTGAGGCAGGTATTTTAATACCTATTTTACAGAAAAGGATAGTGACGTTCAGAAAAGTTAAGAAACTTTCTAGTAAGTGGTAAATAACTAACCAGTAAGTTGCAGAGCTGGGAGTCTAACTCAGCTCTATTTCTCTCCAACTTTTCACTCCGCCACACTGCAGTCTTCTCTTATGCCCTTAACCAATGAGCCCTTGGGATCTTCCTGCATTCTCATCCCATTGCCCTCTGCTTCTTTTCTAGATGAGCTTTGCCGGCAGATGGCTGGTCTGCCCCCAAGGCGACTCCGTCGCTCCAACTACTTCCGACTTCCTCCCTGTGAAAATGTGAATTTGCAGAGACCCAGTGGTCTGTGATCATCAAGGAAGTGGAAAAAAGAAGAAATGTGTGGATGGGAAAAGAATGCTCTAGGAGGAGGGAACTCCTTGTCTAACCATTGTCAGCTAACCCAGTGTTTAGCTTTTGCCCCTACTCCCTGATTTTTCACCCAGACTGAAACACTTATCTCATTTCTGGCACTCACAGTACAAAATCTATATTATTGCATGGTTTAATGGCTTTCCAATATAATAGACACAGTAGGTAAATGATGACCAGGTGGCTTATATACAAACATTCTACATACAGTTTCAAGGGAAAACAAACTTAGGGTTAATATTTACTATTGAGTCTATCTGAGCTAGATTTCAGAGTAGAAGGAATTGTTACTGTCTATTTTGGCTAGCCATAGAACTTCACTTACTTTCCTCTTAAGAGTTACCAAGATTAACTCCCAATTTGTCTATAAAATTATAGTCCTTTTAAACTATTTTTGCTGATTGTCATAACATTTGCTTGGCAAGTCTTCTTTATGAAAAACATCATGATAACTGTTGTAGTCCTAAAAAATTCTCCAGAGCCAAGAGTTATACAATCTTACTAATAATATATAAAGACCCAAAATGTTTTCTTCGGCTAATCACAGAGGCTGATGCTAAAGAGAGAGGAGTATGCCAGATATGGAACTTGGACTCATGATTTCTTATTCAATTTTTTATGCAGGTGTCTAATCAGCAATTTGGGCTGGGAAGTAAGTCTCATTTTCTTACTCATTTACGGTAGTATTGGGGTTAGTCTATGTCCACAGGTTAATTAGACAACTAATGTCAAACCATATCACTGGTCTGAGTATCTGAGTTATTGCTACTTCTGTTCTCACCACTTAACAAAATCCTTAAAGATTATTATGCAAACAGATTCTGGAATAGCCTGATTTGGGGCCTCAAAAAGGCATTCAGACCTGAACTTTGAGAGACAAGCATAAAGTTTACCTAATGGTTTATAAAAAATAGTAAAAGAAATAGGATTCAGTAACCCACATTCTTATCCTGGGTCTATCTGTGACCAGGTAGCTTCAAATAAGTCATGTTTCCTCATTAGGTCCTGTTTTAATTTCCCCATCTTTAACATGGAAAGGTTTCATTTACATCAGTTGTAAGTTTTCCTTTATGAATGTCAAGATTTAAAGGCATTGTTCATATTTCTTGAAACCTAGAGATGCAGTCTAATTCACAATAAACATGTCTAGTTTACAAGGGCGGAGATATCCTATATTAAATAGACAGTGGTCCACAATGTAATAGAAAAAAAATCCCACTATAAGTGACAAACTATGCGGAATGGACCTTCCTGCTGAATAATTCAGTAACCTTCTTAAAAAGCCAATGGAATTCAAGTAGAAACTAGGGGACTTTGAAACAACCAGTTACATATGACAGAATGCCATTTGATAAGGAGTGAATTTCTTTTGTATTACTGAGAAAACTACCTAACTGAGGATTGGATTCTCGCTGTTAAGAAGCAATTTAGTTTAATGAGATTGGCACAACTGATTTTTAAAATTGTTAGAAAAAGCCCCAAAGCATGTAATCTCTGCTCCACAGCCTCTAGAAGTAAAAGTTCTCATATATAAACAGATATATTAAATGCATATTGTAGCCAGTGTAGAGAAATCTCATAGGCACAGAGTTTCCAACAATCACCTCAGAATATCTTCATAACTTGGCCCTCCTATTGCATATTGAACGAGAGGTAGCATTCCCACCAGAAAGCACCTCAATCCCAGTATTATGTATATTGCAAATTAAACATTTTAAAATAATTTTTTCCAATTTCCTTCTCAGGAGAAGTGTTGTGTGTGGTTATTTCTTTTACTATTCTGTGTTTAGAAAGAATCCCTGAATTCATGCTTTTATCCCACTCTGAAAACTAAATACCAATATTGCTCAAATTTCGTTATTCCACTATTCTCTATTGTATCCTTCTTCACTCCAGCATTCCAAATTTATTTACTCTCTTTTAGCTGTGGCCCTTCCCCAATTCACCAGAAGATTCTTTTTCTTTTCTGCCCCCTTCAGAACCAATTGTCTTGCAAGGTGAAGTTTCATGCTTTCACTTCTCTTTTGAGAGAAGTGAATGATCAAATTCCTGAAATTTTGCCGTTTCTCAATGTTCTTATGTTCCCTACCTGTTTTACTCTTTTCAATATGTAAACCAACATTTCTAACTCACTTCCCAGCCTTTTTTTTTTTCATTCTTATAAAGTCTTATTTTCCCTTATAGCTTTCCCCTAAGAATGGTCCCAGGTTTAAGTTTCTAAGGGGTTGTTTTCAGTCCTAGTTCTCTCCCTCTGTACTCCCTTCCCCACTGGCAGAATTCTGTTCACCTCCTTTTCATTTTTTTTTTTTTTTTTTACCCTTGACCCATTTCAGGTCCCCGTCTTAGTTTTCTTTCCTTGTGCCTCCCACAAAAACATGAAAAGATTGGAAAACTTTTTACTCTTTAAGATATTAATACTATCCGTTTCCTGGTGAATGCAAATGACAACCTTCTCAAGCAAGGAACTTCTATTTTGATGAGAAAGAATTACTTGAATCAAAACAATGAAATAATGATGAAATTAAAGGATTTGGTTGAAAGTTAGGCCATTTTGGAGATCAAATGCCTTCCTGGCACCTTGATGAGACTGCAGGCTCATCTGCCCACCCATACGGTTTACCCTTCTCTTCCAAAACTGAGTTGATCCTGCTCTGAGCCTAACTTTTTCCATATTTCATGCCTATGATTGAATAAAATTCTTCTCCTTGAATTGAACAAGTTCTGGAAATTCAAGTGTGCACTGTGCTCTCTAAATATAGCTCCATGCACACTTTCTCTGAGTATTCTTTTGACTTGCAGGTTGATGGTGCAAATCCCAACTGGTCACTGCACTTCTGGGCTGTACTTTTGATAACATCAAGCAGTACATATTTTTAGCCACAAGCTCCGCCTCCTTTGCTTCAGGATATTGCGGCAGAAGTTGAATGTTCAATCAGATACTTTACACCTGGTCAGAAGGTGCAAGCAACTTGTAACCTCTAATCTTCCCCCTCCCTTTTGTACTGAAGCAGCTGTAACACAGTGAAGAAAGAAATCTGAGAAGAAAAAAGAAGTTACAAGAGCACCAGACAAGAGGGATAAGGAGGTGGGAAAGTAATGACAGCTTGATTTCAGGGCAGGGAAACCAGGAGGCTAGAAGGTGAGGGTTCACAAATCGGTATGGGAGAAAGGAATTTGGAAAGTGTGGTGAAGAGATCCTGAGAGATCTGGAACCTTACAGGGTAGGATGGGAGGACATCAGAAGCACAGTGGAAGAGAGGCAGGACTGACCTTATAGTTCTGTCAACTTAGGGAGGCAGATTTGGTTAAAAATACAATATTCCATTGAAATCCTCACCCTGACGAGTGTGACTCAGTGGGTTGGGTACTGTCCTGCAAACCAAAACGTTTCTGGTTCGATTTCCAGTCAGGATACACGCCTGGGTTGTGGGGTCCCCGTTTGCAAGTGTACAAGAGGCAACTGATTGATGTTTCTCTCCCTCTTTTTTTCCCTCCCTTCCTCTCTCTCTAAAAATAAATAAAAACTCTTTTAAAAAAAATGGAATCCTTGTATCTTTTAGTATTTTCACCAACCAAACATCAGCGAAAGTGACTTGTTGAGTTTCTCTGTGGTGGAGAAACAGGTGGCCAACAGGCTTTTTTTTTTTTTTCTAAAAGCCACTCAAGCAAAGTCAGAAGCATCAGTCAAATGACAACTTCTGAGCAGAATACAAGTTGGAAAAAGCAAACATTTATATAAATAGAGGTGCAAACCCCATATCTTCCTGTTGACAAATCGAGCTTCACTTCACTTCAAACCCCCAAATTAAAAAAAAGAAAAGGCGATAATGGCTTTTTTTCAATTTGTCCAATCACTGTCAATAAGGTTCTAGTATTTTCCTAACCCAGGGGTCCTGAAGTTTTTTTTCCCCTCTATCTCTAGAGTTTTTTTCTTTTCTTTTACTTTGTTTTGTATATTTACTTATCCATACATCTATACTGTGTAACTTTATGGAGTACTTAATTAAATGTATGAAACAATCCATAAAGATTGAATTCAGAATGATCTCATAAATTTGTGTGAGGTTCACCTCCTCTCCTAGACCCCTAATGAAAGGTAATAGATGAGCTTTGATCAAGTACATGGAAATGTTATAATGGAAAATAACCTGAACTGTATTTAAGGGATTGATGGCCATTGAGGTATCAGCTGCATCATTACACACTGTTTACTAACATGTTGTTCCATCCTAAATCATCAAACCCAGGAGTTACAAAAAAGGTAAATTAGAACTGCCAGAAAAACACTGTTAGTATTTGCATAAAATTACACCCATATATGTATCCATCCATTCTCAAAAATGGATGAGACTTTGGAAATAAGGGAGATAAAGTAATAATACAAACAAGCTTATGAAATGTGTAATATTAACATCAATAGGTATTGAAAACAAAAACTACTACAAAAATGTTTATATAAAATCATGAATGACAACAGCTTAATTGGTTAAGAGAAACTAACTTCTAGAGCATTTGAGATCTTGCTTACTGGCATGTTGTCATTTTGGCTCAGATGAACTCATAAAAATTCTCAACTTCCAGCCAAGATGGAGGCGTAGATAGATACACTTAGCCTCCTCGCACAACCAAAAGAAGGGCAACAACGAATTTAAAAACAAAATCCAGCCATAACTGCCAGAAAATTGAACTGTATGGAAGTCAACAACAAGGAGTTAAAGAAGAAACATTCATCCAGTCTAGTAGGAGGGGCAGAGACAGTCAGCCAGGACAGAGAGGGCATGGCAAGCCACACCTGGAAGACCAAGTGGTCCCACATTTGCGTGCAGATAAACCAGGAGGAACAACTGGGGAATGAGAAAGGTTCTAGCATGGGGGAAAAAAACCTTTGGTTGCAAAAACCTGCCAGAGATGCAGCAATGGGAGAAACTCCCTGCCTCACAGGAAAGTTCATTGGAGAGACCCACAGGATCCCAGAACGTACACAAACCCACCCCCCTTGGAATCAGCACCAGAAGGGCCCAATTTGCTTGTGGGTAGTGGGGGAAGTGACTGAAAGCTGGATGAGAGCTGAGCAAGCGGCATTGTTCCCTCTCTGATCCCTCCCTCACATATAGCTCCACAACACAGTGACCTGGGTTGCCTGGTCCTGGTGAATACCTAAGGCTCTGCCCCTCACAATATAACAGGAGCAACAAAGAACTATGGCCCAAATGAAAGAACAGATCAAACTTCCAGAAAAAATAGAACTAAGCAATGAAGTGATAGCCAACCTATCAAATGCAGAATTCAAAACACTGGTAATCAGGATGTTCACAGAAATGGTTGAGTATGGCTGCAAAATAGAGGAAAAAGTGACGGCTAGGCAAAGTGAAATAAAGAAAAATATACAGGGAACCAACAGTGAAAGGAAGGAAACCAGTACTCAAATAAATGATTTGGAATAGAAGGAAGAAGTAAACATTCAACCAGAACAGAATGAAGAAACAAGAATTCAAAAAAATGAGGAGAGGCTTAAGGACCTCTAGGACAACTTTAAACATTGCAACATCTGAATCATAGGGGTGCCAGAAGGAGAAGAGGAAGAGCAAGAAATTGAAAACTTATTTGAAAAAAATAATGAACTTCCCCAATCTAGCAAAAGGAATAGATTTACAGGAAGTCCAGGAAGCTCAGAGAGTCCCAAAGAAGTTGGACCCAAGGAAGCACACACCAAGGCGCATCATAATTACATTCCCCAAGGTTAAAGATAAGGAGAGAATCTTAAAAGCAGCAAGACAAAAGGAGCCAGTTACATACAAAGGAGTTCCCATAGGACTATCAGCTGATTTCTCAAAAGAAACCTTACAGGCAAGAAAGGGCTGGAAAGAAGTGTTCAAAGTCATGAAAGGCAAGGACCTCCATCCAAGATTACTCTATTCAGCAAGGCTATCATATATAACGGAAGGGCAGATAAAGTGCTCCCCAGATAAGGTTAAGTTAAAGGAGTTCATCATCACCAAGCTCTTATTATATGAAATGTTAAAGGGACTTATTTAAGAAAAAGAAGGAGATCAAAACTATGAACAGGAAAAACAACAAACTCACAGCTATCAACAACTGAACCTAAAATCAAAAACAAACTAAACAAACAACTAGAAGAGTAACAGAATCACAGAAATGGAGATCACGTGGAGGGTTATCAGCAGGGAGGGGAAGGGGAGAGAAGGGGGGGAAGTTACAGAGAATAAGAAGCCTAAATAAGTAGGTGCAAAGTAGACAGGGGAAGGTTAAGAATAGTATAGGAAATGGAGGAACCAAAAAACTTATATGTACAACCCATGGAAATGAACTAAAAGGGGGGTCCTGCTATGAGAGGAGTGCAGGACAGAGGGGAATAAAGGGGAGAACACAAATGGGACGGCTGTAATAGCACAATCAATAAAATACACTTAGAAAAAGAAACAAATTTCTTTGTTGCACAATAATCTCTAACTTCATAAACAACTATGTTCTTTTATGTTTCCATTATTTTAGAGAAACTGAGATTGAAAGACCGACATAGTGTAATAATTTATGATTAAGGTAACAATAATTCATAAGTTATGAATATAATTTATAGTTAAAGTACAATTCATACAAATCGCTACAAGCTCTAATGACATAGAGCAGGAATAATTTCTCTCTTGCCACATAGAAACTAAAAAAATATATCATTTATGCACACAACATCTAGATCTCAGATCA